TATATAGAAAAATTAGCCGGGCATGGTGATTCATGCCTGTAGTCCCAGCTACTTGGGAGGTTGAGGCAGGAGGATCACCTGAGCCCTGGAGTTTTAGATTGCTGTAAGCTACCCTGGAGTTTGAGGTTGCTGTAAGCTAGGTTGACGCCAGGGCACTCTAGCCCGGGGAAGAGTGAGACTCTGCCTCAAAAAAAAAAAAAGACATTTGCACTCAAATGTTTATAGCATCACAATTCACAATTGCAAAGATGTGGGAACAACCCAAGTGTCCGTCAATGCATGAGTGGATTAATAAAATGTGGTAAATGTATATCATGGAGTTCTACTCAGCCATAGAAAACAATGGTGTACCAACACCGCTTGTATTATCCTGGATGGACCTGAAGCCCATTCTCCTAAGTGAAGTATCACAAGAATGGAAAAACAAACACCCCGTATACTCGCCATGAAATTAATATTAATTGATCAACACTTATGTGCACATATGGAAGTAGCATTCATCGGGTGTCGGGCAGGTGGGAGGGGGGAGGAAGGGATGGGTATATTCACATCTAGCTGGTGTGGTGCACACTGTCTGGGGGATGGACACGCCTATAGCTCTGACTCCGTTGGTGCAAATGAAATATATGTAACCTAAACCTTTGTACCCTGTAATATTCTGAAATAAAAAATGAATACATTTTTTTAAAAAGCTTTTCATGTTGCTTTTAAAATATAATTTTCAGAAAAATTAAAACTTACTTCTAGGCTTTGTATAGTGGACTTTACATTTATTTAGGAAATTCCTAGCCACAGAAATTGTAGTTTTGACCTCTAAAATGCTATATGTTTTTCCCTTCTTAAACTGCTATTGTACCTCCAGGAGATAAGAGAATAGAACAAATGACTTACCAGTAACAAACAGTTAACACATGTTTTGTATGTTATATGTATTACATACTGTATTCTTACAATACAGTAAGCTAGAGGAAAGAAAATGTTACTAAGAAAATCCTAAGGAAGAGAATATATATTTACTATTTATTAAGTGGAAGTGGATCACCATAAAGGTCTTCATCCTAATTGTATTCACATTGAGTAAGCTAAGGAGGAGGAAAAGTTGATTTTGGCTGTCTCTGGGGTGCAAATCCACATATAAATGGACCTTGGCCTTTCAAACTTGTGCTATTCAAGAGTCAACTATGCTTTTATTTTTAGATATAAAAATTTATCAAATGCCCTTAATACAAGTTGATATAAGGAAGACAGTATATACAGTGAGCAGATCTATTTAATAGGGTATTGCAAGGATGAAATGTATATGTAAAGTGTTTGGAGGGCTGTAATTTCTTTAAAAATGTGGGTTACTATTGAAAACACAGATGTTTTTTGTTTGCCGATCTTGTACTTTGAAACTTTGCTTAACTTATTTATTAGCTTTAGTAGTTGTATGTGTGTGTGTGTGTCTGTGTGTGTGTCTTTAAGGATTTTCTTTATGTAGAATCATGTCATGTGCAACTAGAGATAGTTCTACTTTCTTTCCGATTTGGATGCCTTTTATTTCTTTTATTTGCCTAATTGCTCTGACTAGGACTTTCAATAATGCTTAATAGCAGGAGGAAAAGTGGGCATCTTTATTCCTGTTTTTAGGGGAAAAGCTTTTACTCTTTATTGAATGTGATGTTAGCTAAGAATTTTTCATGAATGCTTTCTATTAGGTTAAGGAAATTTCCTTCTATTTCTAATATGCTGAGTGCTTTTTTCATGAAAGATTATTGAATTTTGTCAAATGTATTTTCTGTGTCTATTGAGGGGATTGTGTGTGTGCACACGTGTTTTTCTTCATTCTACTAATATGCTGTATTGCTTTGATTGATTTTCTTATGTTGAACTACCCTTGTACTTTGGGATGAATCCCACTTGGGTCATAGTGCATAATCCTCTTAATGTGCTGTTTAATTTAGTTTGCTAGTATTTGGTTGAGGAGTTTTTTTTTTTTTTTTGAGACAGAGTCTCGCTTTGTTGCCCAGGCTAGAGTGAGTGCCGTGGCATCAGCCTAGCTCACAGCAACCTCAAACTAACTCCTGGGCTCAAGCAATCCTCCTGCCTCAGCCTCCCAAGTAGCTGGGACTACAGGCATGTGCCACCATGCCCGGCTAATTTTTCCTATATATATTAGTTGGCCAATTAATTTGTTTCTATTTATAGTAGAGACGGGGTCTCGCTCTTGCTCAGGGTGGTTTCGAACTCCTGACCTTGAGCAATCCGCCCGCCTCGGCCTCCCAGAGTGCTAGGATTACAGGCATGAGCCACCGCGCCCGGCCTGTTGAGGAGTTTTGTATCTATATTCATAAGAGGTATGAGTCTATAGTTTTTTTTTGTGGTACCTTTGTCTGGCTTTTATAGTATGTGTTATGAAGTATTCCCTCTTATTTTTTGGAAGCTTGAATAGGATCGTTCTTAATTCTCCTTTAAGTATTTGGTTGACCTCATCAGTGAAGCCATCTGATCCTGCACTTTTCTTTCTTGGGAAGTTTTTGATTACTGATTCAATTGTTGTTGGTCTGTTGAGATTACTTTTTCTTGAGTTGGTTTTGATAGATTGCATGTTTCTAGGAATTTGTCCATTTAATTTAGATTATTTAAGTGGCTGGTATATAAGTATTCTCTTATAATCCTTTTAAATTTCTGTAAGGTAGAAAATAATGTCCTCACTTTAATTTCTGATTTAAATTAATTGTATTTTCTCTATTTTTCTTAGTCAGTTTAGCTAAAGGTTTGTTACTTTTGTTGATTTTTTTCAAAGAACCAACTTGTGGCTTCATTGATTTTGGGTTTTCTAGTTTCAATTTGTTTTTTTCTGTGTGAATCTTTATTATTTCTTTTCTTCTGCTGGCTTTGGATTTTGTTTGGTCTTCTTTTTTTTCTTTTAGTTCCTTAAATTGCAAAATTAGGTTGTTGATTTGTGATCTTTTTCAGTATAGGCATTTACAGCTTCATTGATAGTTTCTGTCAACTTTTTTTTTTTTCTGTGAATGGGCCACATTTTCCTGTTTCTTTGTATACTTTTAAATTTTCTGTTAAGAACTGGACATTTTGAATACTGTAATGCAATAACTCTGGAAATCAATTCTCCTTCCTCTTCAGGGATTGCTGTTCTTATTGAATGTTATAGTCATCTACTTATTAATTTGGTGACTTTTCTAAACTATTCTTGCAAATACTATATTCCTTGTTGCTCTGATCACTGAAGTCTCTGTTCTGTTATCTCTGAGGTCATCAGTGATTTTCTTAAATGCTTGGATCCAATAAGGAAAAACATTTCTGTTTCTTTAAATTACTTTGAAAGACACTGGGAAGCCCTTCACCCCTGGAGGGTTGAAACAATAGCCAGCACCTGCCCCAGTCTCTCAGTGAACTATCAGACAAATCAAAACATACATTTCCAAATTGTGAAAGACAAGCTTCCCGCTCAGACATCAGTAGGCCCTCTGGGAACATGAGCCACAGTCTCCATGACTACCTGCCATGGTGCTGGGGCTAACAGTTCTTGCCACCTAAGTAGTTGATTTGGTGGAGGGACTGATTCCTGGAGTGTCCTACTCCACCATCTACGCTGATGTCACTCTTGTATTGATTCTTACTGAGATAATATCTTGATATTACAATGTTGTATTAGCAAAAATTGTAAAAAGAGCTTGTTTAAGAGAAGAGTGAACACTGATTTGTATATGAGTAATATATTTATAGAGTTACTTCTTTTAAGTTATTTGCCATTATATTTGTCCACCTTACAAATAAGGCTGGTTGATCAGAAAGACTGAATTATTCATGTACATGTCATCATATCACCACATATCAATACAACTTGCGGCTGAGCAGAGAAAATGGCATTCTTTATTGTGTCTGTGGGTGCTCCAGTCTTTTTTGTGCTATTTATCCATAGGAGAACCAGTGATTAGCTGTTGGGTAGGGATATCCAATATGATTTAAAACTTAGTCCAGTATGATGACTTAAATAGTTTCTTTAGGTAGTGTTAAAACTCTCTCTGAGATAAAAATGGTCAGTCTCTTGGTCTGCGTTTTACTCTGGGATGGCTTATGGGTGTGGGGTGAGGTGTGTGGCCTGTCTCCTGGCAGTGGGAAACTGACCATTTCCCTCTGTTTGATGTTCACTATTTCTTCTGGTCTCCAGGGTAATAACTTTTAACCTCTTAGTTGTGTTTGCCTTGCTGGCAAATGCTAATAATGTCATGGCTAGTGTAACTCGCTGTCAGGCCTTTCTGGTTGGTCAGAACCTAGTGGTGCTGCCCAGATGGTTTGGTTTCTTTGGTCTCTGCCCTCTGAACTCTCCTGGGAGTCTGCTTGTCTCTATCCAGCTGATAGCCTGGAACTTCATGCACAGCCTTTGCTGAAGTATCACCCTGTTCCATGGTGGGCCCCATGGCTGCCCCCGTAGCTCAGAAAATCTGAGTCTCAGAGCTTATTATTGCTTGAGCGTATTTGGGAAAACTGTACCTCTCAAGGTAATGGTTTGGTTTGCAAGACTATGAACTTACTATGTAATCCTTCTGTTGGTGTGAGATGCTGCATATTATTTCATTTCATCTCTTTGTACTTCCTTCACTAGTAAAATCTAATAGTTCCTCAGGCAGATGAATGACCCCAGACTAGGACAAAGGTCAGATGCTTGGAAAGGCAAAATAAGAACAATGAAAATAATAATTTTCAAGCACTCTCATGATATAGACACACATATGAGGATATATTTAAAGAGTCATATGTAATTCTAAAGAAGCCTTAAATGTAAGGAATATAGGCTCGTTTGAGAGGTATATGTTGTATGCATATATATGCATACACATTTTATAATATGGCTAAGATATATGTGTATATCTATTACATAGTTAAGATATAATATACATATTTAATATTAGGAGGTTTGTTTTCTTTGTATCTGTAGCAGCATTTTCCCATGACTAAACAATGTGATTTCATGCACACATTTTCTTCTCTTGTAGGACAGTTCGTGTTTGGTTAAAGAGAGACAGTGGACAGTATTGGCCAAGCATATACCATGCAATGCCGTGTAAGTATCTGCATCTCTGCCTTGAAAAACCAGACATGCACCCCGACTTTCCTTCCTTCCCAGATTGCTTTCTCTGTCTTTTCTTCTTGAGTAGAGAATACTAGGATTGGCATTCTCATTATAATGGAAAGTATCATATTAAATCATTTTAGATTTTTCTAAGGCTTTCACTATGTAAAGTAAGAAAATTGTTCTGAAATTGACTCTGTATTCATAGTTTCTGAATAAGATTAATGGAAGAAGGACTACAGCACATAGACTGTCTGATTACAGCAGTCTCTGTCTCTTTTCCAATTTTCTATTTAACTATTTTATAGTGTGTCCTTAGACATTCAAATTTTGTCCAGTGATTACATTTGTGAAGTAAATTTGTCCTTGCCTTATTTTCATATCATTTATTCAAAGTCAAGGCATTCAGCCTTCAGTTCTCAAAAGTATTTGCTTAGGATTGAAACATTCTAATTAGAAGTCAATCTCATTTCCGTAAGATCTTACCTGAGAAATATGTCCTTGCACTGATAAATAATAAATCTTCCAAATATGCTTTTAAAAGATAGGTATGAGTGATCCTTAGACTGTTCCACCAAGAAGTTCCCCCATAGATAGAGAAGAGCTAGCTAAATTTCCCCTAAAACAGGAAATATCTTTTTAGTGTTTCATTTTTAAAATTAATGAAGTTTTAGACATCCTTGTTCATGTTTATTTTAGTGTAAAATGATTATTTAAATGCACTATCAGTTGTATTAATCATTTCCCTTAGTCCCTTGCCATCAAATATTAATTAAAATTAACACCCTTGAAAAATCTCCTAGGTTTGTTGTTTGGGCTAATTTACCCTCTGGCTTGCTGCAGTGTGTACCTCTTCCTTTGATATAAGTATCCCAGTTTCAGAAGTACATATCACTATATACAGCCAAAATAAATTCATGCTAAATTGTAAATGTGTTCATGTTTATGCCTTGGCATACTGTAATAATTCAAACAACAATTTTGCCTGTTTATGAACAAATGAATTATTAAGGATGTGATGGTTTTCAATGATCTTCAAATTCTCTCTGAGGCTTTTGCATGCCTTTAGATTTTTGTACTAAATAGATGGTAAGCATGAAGCTGAACCGAGTATTCTGCCCCTTTTTTGTGAAGAAACTTCTTATAATTCTGAATGCTGTATTCTTCCTTTACCTGTTTTGTTTCTGGAAGACACTGTTATACGCAATGGGCTCAAGATGAACTTTCTTTTTAAGCCATGGCAGTGATGAGGGTTTAGGTAAATGGAAAAGGAAGGGAATTCTCTGATTTTTTTTCTGATTTTCAGGTGATATAACCAGTCCTCTGGTCTGGCTTCTTTATCAAATTTGATACAGTATCTAGCTGGAAGAGATGGAGAAGGGTTATAATCCAGCAATTTGAAGTTGGCCTCAGAGATCTATAGGACACACATACACACACGTGTATATATATGTGTATATGTGTGTGTGTGTATGTGTTCATATATGGCAGACCTGGGTGAAATGATAGGGATTTGGGGATGGCAAGCAAGGAATCTTTCTGAGATGAGCATTAATAGGAACTTCATGAAGGCACAGGATCCTAAGTGATTGCTTACCCACTCCCTTCCCTGTATACACATACATACAGATTTTGGTGCCATTCTCTAATTTCTTTATCTGAATATCACTGAGAATACAGAGAAGCCTCTAGTTGCATTTTCATCAAGAATGACTAAAGGTTGCTTGTAGCTCCTATACCTGGCATTGGTGCGCAATAAATACTTACTGAAGGATTCAGGTTGGCAATAAAGATGAGTTTCCCTGAGGACATTATTATCTATTTTCCTTAGGACTGAACATGAACTTTGAGAAAGAGGACCTTCTAATTACTTATATGCTTTGCCTATGGTATTCTACTGAAGGGGGTACAAAAGGGATTACTTTGCTATTCAGAATGTGGTCTGTGGACCAGTAGCTTCAGCATCACCTGGGAACTTAATAGAAATGTACTATGAGGTTCCACCCCAGAGCCACTGAATCAGAATCTCCATTTTAATAAAATCTCTAGGTGATGTGAGTGTATAAAGTTTGTCTTGTGACATTATAGCCAACATGTTGATGATCTGTGTATATAATGTTACCATGAACATGTGTAAAGCCTTATGCATATATAGGGCTGATGTGTGAAACCTTATGCATATATAAGTATAAATACACATGCCAATCAAATATTTACTGCATACCTACTGTACACAGGCCACTGACCTAGGTGCCAGAGATTTGCAGATAAACAAAGTACATATGGTCAAGATGATTTCAGTACTTTTCATTGTTGGGTGGTTCCACTACTGTGTAGAGGTTAAAAAAAAAAAAAAGGCTACATTCATAACAGTTGGTCAGAAATTGGTATTTATGTTCCTAAGACTCTTATGCATTCAGATGATATAGTAACTGACCTCTTAGCAAGAATATAAACTTTATTTAACCTCAAAGAGGCAGAATCATTGCAAAAGGATATAAGCTACATTTCCATCAGTTAGAGAACCTGAAATAGATTTGAGTTTCCAAATCTATTTTGCAGTCCTTTCTATTGAAAGTTGTTTTTACTAAGAGGTTACTTAGTATGATCCTTAAATAATGGTTATGTGGCATTAGTTACAAAATAAGGGGAAAAGTACAATATATCTGTAGGCTATAGATGGCTAGCACAAGGCAGATATGACCATATTGTGTTTATATGAGTATATAATAAGTAGTATTGAAAATACAGAAGAAAAGAAAAAAATATTCTGCACATTTAAAATATGGCTTATTTCCTTATTTTGTCCATTTAATTATAGTGCTTGAATATGGCTGACAATGTCTGCTTTCATGGCGTTTATAGTGTGTTGGGGAAGGCAGATATTTAATGAGTCCTGGCCATGATGTGTGCTGAGTGTTACAACACGGGAAGTAGGTATCACGGGCACTTGGTCACAGGGTCTCCCTGAGGAAAGTTCATTTTAAAGCTTGCTCTCTATGGAGAATTTGAGGGTGACTGCTGACTTCTTTTGTAGTTTCCTATAAACTAGCTAATTTTTATGGACGAATGAGAAATCAGAGCCTTTCCATATCAACCAGTCTTTCAAAAAAGAATACTCTCTTGGTATATCTCACATAGCAGCTGCTAATTGTCTGTGACAGTATCAACTTACTACCTACCCACCTGGGACCCTGCCTGAGCTTGTAAACCAGAGAGGGATCTTCCTCAGGGTACAGAGTTGAAGTTTCAGTTGCAGCCATAAATGTGATTATTTGTTCCAGGGTTCTAATAGATCCCATTTTAACTACCACATTTGTATCACACTACAGAGAAAAAGCATGCGAATAGCACTGGCGTTCCTATTTTCGTGGCTGAGTTATTTCACATTTACTAACTAGGCCTGCTGTTTATGGGATCAGACGAAGGAGAGGTGGGGAGGAATCTCATGCAAGAGGTAGGGTGGCAGGTGTTGGAGATTTTTCTTACTCTTTGAGAGGATTGGGTGGCATGGCTGGGCCTTTACTGCCCACTTCTCCCCTGGGTGTGGAGAATCAGTAGATCAACATGGCTGCCAAACACCTGACCGGGAGGCTTGTGGGAACCAGAGAAGTGGAAAATCTCTGTGGGTTCTTTTGTTTGTTGCCACAGCAGGCAAGTGGAATTTACTTTGGCTCCCAAGTATTTGTGAATTTATCCCCAAAGCCAAACAGAAGGCATTTTTTTCACAAATAGTTACAAATAAATAGGCACACCTAACAGCAATAAAATGACCAATTTCATCATCTTCCTGGCTCTCTGCTTTGGCCTGGTGAGATGGCATTTGCACCCATTGGAAGTTGTGGTTGGGCCCCTCAGTTTTCTCACAAGTATGGCCACCTCTCCATCTGCTCAGCCACTGCTTAAAGTATAGGGACTCAAGTCCTCATTGAATCACATCATTTTCAGCTTCCCGGTTTTTATTAAAAGCATGATTGAGAGAGAAGCTCTTTGTGGTAGACAGCATGAAGGATATTCAGTCTGATTATTTATCTAAATTCTGGGTTTTCCCCCTTTATGTCAGCCCTCTGCAGAAACGCCTTCATTCCTTGTGCCCTTTTCTTATACTGATGTGTATGTTATATGAAATGCTTTATAGCTGTTTTTGGAGTGATTGTCTACCATAATTCACAGCGCCCCTTTTATGAAAAAGCATGAAGGGGCAATATTTTTTAGATAAGGGGGCTGGGAACACTTTGCTTTCTTGAAGGCAGAGCCTACTGATGTGGTCCACATGGATTACAATCCCCTGAGAACTGACTGCTTAGCTGAGAAGAGGCATGGGAGGCGGGTGGAAGGAAGGGTTAGTCTCTTCCATTTATTTCAGTGGCTGTACAAATATAATTTTCTGTGTGTATCATGAGGTGAAAAAGGTTGGGAGAAACAGCACAAAGGACTTGGTACTTGGTCCTTGTGGATAATGTGAAGCATGAAATTTACTAAGTTTCCCAGCAAATCCTTGGTTTAATTTTCTTCCTGTTCTTATATATATATATTTTTTACCATAGTTGTAACTTTTTGTTTATTTCTGTTTTTTGGTTTTATTGTACCTGATTTTTAAGCCATTTCAAACTCTTTGTGAAATGAAGTGGGAAATACATTAAATAAATAATCTTAGTTAAGATGAACGTTTGAACATAGTCTATTGTTTACATTAAATTCACCCCCCCCCCAATGCTTTGTTTCAAATTGGAGTATTCAGAATAGCTTGTAGGTTAGAACTTGTGCTTGGGGCCTGGGAGGAAACTGGAATTTGATTTTCATTTTGGCTGTCTATTGCTGAGTCATTCTGGGCAAGTCCTTTACATTTTCTCTGCTTTGAGGCCTAACAGATGTACTGTTTTCTTTGTTCTCAAATTTGCAAAAATATTTTGGTTATCAAATATGTCAAATAACTATTTGTAAAATACCTTTAGTTTCTTGGTGTTTAACAATATATACTATCACTGCTG